GCTCAGCCAGTGAGCGGGAACCGGTCTGCATGTGGGATCCGACCCCTCGGCGGGAGCGCTGCCGCGCTTCCCAAGCGGCGCACTTAAGCAGTGCGCCACCGGGCCGGCCCAGTGATCACCTTTTTTGCTGGAACTTTAACAGCAGCTGCTGCAGCTGCAGCAACACCTCAGCAGCACCTCAGCAGCAGGTGCTTTTTTGGGAGATGCTTTCAAGAGAGCTGTCTTTTGAAGCTTCTTAACTTCATTCTTGATTATTCTGTTCCTCATTTTCTTTGCCTTCATGACTTTATAACAATCAAAATTCGCCATTTTGGCTCTTTTTTCTCTGGCTTCAATCTCCTTGGCCTGTCTTGTGGCTGCCCATTTTGTATTGATATCAGCTTTCTGCCAGGCTTGTTGCACGTACTTCTGGAGGGTGCTGTGTGGGAACTTGAGGATGAAGTCAGTGAGCTGCATGCATTTGAAAGGCGTGATCTGTCTCCTTACCTGAGTGCAAGGTTTATCAGCCAAGCCCTGTTCTGATCAATAACATCTACAGTCACGACAAGCTTTCCAGCATGAGGCCCAAAGGGGATGTAGGCCACCTGGCCAGCCTCCATGAAGCACCTGAACACCACGTTGGAGGCATTTAGCGAGAAGCTAAAATAATTTTTAAGAGGCACATTTGAGAATATGTGAAATTGCCATAAGTCAAATCATGCACCTCTCTGATGGATACTGTTATTTGCAGCCAAAGAGGAACTGATAGACCCTGCCTTGTACTGATGGCAAACCGAGAGTGCACCTCCCCTGCCGATTTGTCAGATTGCTCACAGCACCAACTCAAGTGTCCAGCTGCAGACAGCTCGATTAAAGTGACCTGAGAGAGGGGCTTGTCTGTGATGCCCATGAGTACTCCTTGTGTTTCAGGCACTAAGCAGTGGGCATGTGGTGAGGTACAGAAGAGAGACACAGTAATGATGTAATATGATGTGGGGGCCAGGGGCTAGTTTACCCAACCAGATGATGAAACCGTGTTGCACAGTATCACCTAGATGGTCTGCTGGGCAGTTTAAAAAAGGAAGAGGACAGTTTGCTCAAACTGACACAGTTCTAATATTTGGAAAAGGAAAACTCAGCTAAATGACACATAACAGTATTGCCTGTAGAGTAGAAAATATGTTGAAGAATTGAGTGTAGGTATTTGAAGTGTTTAATTATGCAGCATTTCAAGTAGAACAGTATTATGAACCCCACAAACCTGTCACCCATTAGAAATGATGAACTTCTGGCCAGTCCTCGTCCATGTGCATCCCCACCCTCCTTCCACTTTCCCCTGGGTTATTTTGACATTGTATCAGTTCTGGGCCTAATTTTAATTGTTGAAAATGATGCCTTTTTCTGCATTGGAAGTATGTATCTCTTATTATTATGTACGTATGTTTGGGGTTTTTTTACTTGCTTATCTTCTCTCTTCCCACCCCCAATAGGTGGCATAGCATAGAGAGTCAGAGCATGGGCCCTTGTAAAGTAACACAACTACAACAGTTGTCAAGTAAGGCAAGTCATAACTAAAGCCAAAATGTTTCATTATTTTAGTTCTACTAAGTTTCCACTTCTATTGTGAGAACTAGGGCTCAGACCCTTCAAACCCATTGTACAGACTGGGTTCCCACAGCCCTCACACGCAGGTCCACGCTAGGTGATTGGGAAAGATTCCGGGAGTTGCTGGCAGACGACCTGAGCTCAGTCCTCAGCTTCCTCAGCGGCAGCAGCTTACAGGTCCGGCGGTGGCAGTGGCCTTGTGGAGGGTCCCCAGGGCACTACCAGCAGTCTCCAGCAGCTGTAGTTGCCTCCCCCAGCCCCACAGGGCATCCCAGGGGCCGGGGGTGGGGGGTGCTGGGGATTAGAGCCACTCATCCTTTATACTTAAGTCCATAACCCAGGACACCTGGTTGCACATGCACAATTACACTAGACGATAACCAAGGAACACCTGAGCACACGTGCCTGTTTACGTCAAATGCTGGGCAAGATTCTGAACATCTGAGGGGCCCTGACCATTTTCCTATATTGTCCCTACAGCCCTGGAGCCAGAGCATATAGGGTAGAATTTGGGCTCTGCCTCCTACTTGCTCTGTGACCATGGGCAAGTTGGTAAACCTCTTTGGGCTTCCATATCCCTGCCTGTAAATGGAGAAAATCATAGTCCTAAGCATGCAGATGTCAGCTGATTCCATTATTATTATATCAGATCTTTGAATGCTTGTTATGACAAAAAGGCTGTTTTTCACATACAATTCTTATTTAACGTCTCAACAATCCTGAGAGAGTCATTGTGTTTTTACTCATGAGGAAGCTGAGGTTAGAAGAGGTTAAATCAGAGGTTGGCAAATTTGTCTGCCTATTAGAATCGCCTGGGGAGCTTCAAAAACTATTGATGTCTGCTCCACTCCAGAGATTGTAGATTGTGATCTAATTGGCTTGGGCTTTGGTGCTTTTTAAAAATCCCCAAATGATTGTAATATGCAGACAAGCTTGGGAACAGCCAGTCTTCTACCTCCAGACACACAAAACCCATGTGCATCCCCACCCGCCAAGTACTGCAGTCCTCAGTGTGCATTCTGGCATCTCTGTGTGGAGATAGAGACTTGGGAGCCAGGACTTGGCTGGTCAGTTTTATAATCCTGATTGTCAGAGTCCTCCTAGAGGTGGGGCTAGAAAGGGTGGGTTTGGTTAGCCCCACGCTGCAGCCCACCAAGCAGAGCAGATTTCACATCAGGCTTTATGTGTAAAGGTTTATGTTTGTTTGGTTTTGATTTTTGCTTTTTTTTGGTGGCTGGCCAGTACCCTTGACCTTGGCGTTACCAACACCACGCTCTAATCAAGTGAGCTAACCAGCCAGTCCTGTTTTTGTTTTTTATCAAAGGTCTCCAAAACAAACAAACAAAAAATAACAGTAATACTAGGCTACTGCAAAGGGTTCATGGAAAAATAGAATTGAATGATAATACAAAACTTTTTGAAGTACCCTCATAAATGTGAAAACTCCTGAGCACCCACCATATCCCAGCACCGTCCTAAAGGAGAGGAATATAGCGGTAGCAAAACAAGAGCCCTTCGACTGCATTTCTGTCTTCCAGAATTTGGGAAAGCAGATTATGAGACAACATATGTTCCCAATTTTGAGAACAACTACATTCATGTTCAGTAAGTTAAAGATGTGTGTCAAATTGTAAATGATCATCTCTGGTGGGATTATGAGATGATATTTATTTTCCATTGCTGCTCCTATGTATTTTGTAAATTTTCTATAATGAACATGTTACTTTTGTAACAAGAAAAAAGTTATTCTAAACTGTATTAGATGTGAACATTAAGATCAGAGACTTACTAATTTTTTTCCGAACCTTTCAATAGGCAGCAAAGTAATGGAGAATGGTCTTCTCTTCAAAGAACTTCTGCAGACTCCAAATTTTCGAATTACTGTGGTTGATGATGCAGACACTGTTGAACTTTGTGGTGCTCTTAAGGTAAAGTCAACCTAGTTATTTCTGCTTGAGGAGAGGAGTTAATCATGCAAAGCAAATGTTAGCATTATCGAATCTAATGCTGAAGAATGGGCTCTGTGTTCTGCACACTTACTTGGGGGAAGAATGGTGAATTGAGGGCCTTGTTCATAACTTCCTGTTTTGCTGCAGTTCCTGGGTGGTGCAGTTCCTCCCTTCCTCATGGTTTGCTTTTACTTGTAAATATGGGAGAATTGTGATGTTTTATTCTTTGGGAAGTTGGCAGTTAATATTTGGAAAGCATGGGGAATACCTTGATTACAGGGTTTCACCTAGAAGCAAATGATTCTGTTCACTCATATTTCTCCCACATACTATCTTTAGCAGGAAAGAGAACTTGTTCCCCTGAATTACGCTACCCTACTGGTTTGATTGGCTATTCTCTTCAAAGGAGATAGTAGTTTGCTGCTGACAGAGGTTTTTCTAATTGTTTCATCTTTGCGCTCTAGAGGGTGAAGATCAGATTAGATGCAGCCTCTATTGGCCAGTGGCTTGTGATGTCAAAGGGAAGAATTTCTGCACTTGAGCTTCTGACTTGTTTGCCACTGTCTGTTAAAGCCTTGGGCACTGTCTCTCTCTCTAGCCTGACTGTGGGAAACAGCTAGTCGGGAGCTGGGCTGCCGCAGCCACCTGCTCTTTCTCGCCTGGGAATCAGTGCTGCTTTAGTTTCCATCTACAGAAAAAAGAGGAGGTGGTGGGGATAAAGAGTTCTCAATGTGAATACCCCTTTTGAGTCACTTCTGAGTCATCTCTTTTTTTTGTTTGGTGCCTGGCTGGCTGGCCAGTACTCTAACCACCTGAGCTAACTGACTAGCCCCTAGTCATCTCTTTTGTAGCAAAAAGCCACTTCTCAGGAATTTGAGCACCTAGGGAGGCAATCTGGAATTCACCTGCCTCTGTCATGTGAGAATTGCAAAGATTTAAAGAATGCTAAGGACACCAAAGTCCAAAGAATGCCTTCCTCTTTCTCATAAATTGTACATTTTTTAAAGTCAGAATGTAAAAACATTTTCTAGAATTAATATTGTGTGTATATGTGTGGTCACGATATACATGATATATAAAAAAGCTAAAGCCAGTGAAAGTCTTGGACTCCCAGACAGCATATGTGCGTATTTCTAAACGCTCGTGTGGGGCATTCTTCACATTATGTGCAGGCCCTGCTGCTGACTTTGGCTGCTTTGTTTATTTTTGTTGGTTGAGATTTTTATGTGTTTTTAATAGTCCTTCATTAAACTAATGACCACTCGACAGCAGGGGGACATCATGAATGCCTAATTGCTCAGCATTGGTCTGAGCCCCTTCAAAGCTGTTTTTAAGTGACTGGATATTTTTGGTGGTCACGGGAGAAGCTGTGAAATCCTGCCCAGAACAAAAGGTGCTGGGCGAGGAGAAAGAGTCTAGATTGAAGCATCTGGAAAAGCTTCTGATGGGAGCCCACAGTGGTCTTGTGTCTGAACTTAGAACAGCCTTTCATATTTGCTGGCGGGAAGCCTGTAAGTGGATTTGTGCCTGCTACCACGGTGGAAAGTTATTCATGGGGGGTGGAGGCAGATGGGGGCTCACGGCCATTTATCATTCTCCCATCGTGGGGTGGCCTCACCCTGGTATCCTTTGAAATGAGATCAGCTACCATCATTCCTGTCAGCTTGCAGCAGTGCTGGGATTTTTGAAAACTAAGAAACAGACAGTTTGGCAGTTATTGAGTCCAACCATTGTATCCTATGATAAGGAGATCAAGATCAAAAGAGAGATCTTGGTTAAGGGTAGCAAATATCGGCACAGTCGGAGTGTGAACCCGAGTTTTGGGAGTCTCAGTCCAGTGTACTTTGGTTACTATGTACAGCCTGACTCTTGATTTGTATCCAGGCACAATGAATAAAATGAAGCCCTGCCTTTTCAGAGCCTGCCAAAGCAAGGACAAATGTCCATATGTTTCTTTCATTACGTAAATAATAGTTTTGTTGGGTTTTTCTTTTCCTGATCATGAATGTGGTCCTATTCGTGTTTCACACAACAGAAAAGGGTAAAGAAGAAAGAGAAAAATCACAGTCCTGAAATAACCTCTGTTAATGTTTGTTTTATACCTAATCTTTTTAGTAAGCCTACATATGTATATGTCTCCTTTTTAAAAAAAACAACAAAACCTAGATCTTACTGTTCAAGTTGTTTGATATGTTTTAGTTTTTTCACATAAACAACTTTTAGTAATCTTCTCCATACTAGCCAATAAAAAGTACATTATCTTTTTGTACAAAAACATGAGAGTATTTGACTTATTAGAAAAAAAATGAAAAAAACTGCTTACAAAGATAAAATAAGAAAATTCAAAGGAATTTTGAATTTTCAAAACACATAATCATTTTGTATCAGTGCAGCTTACTACCTTCAGAATGTCCTTCAACTCTTAGCTATATTAATCTCTTAGTAAGGAAGTGTTTTTTAAAAAATCAACTTTATTTAAGTGTAATTCATGTAATTAAAATGCATCTATTTAAAGTATATATAATACAATGGGTTTTGACAATCATGTACATAAGCCCATGAAAACCACCACGACAGTAGAGATCATTTCCATCATCTCCAAACAATTCCACATTCCACATGTCCCTTTGAGGTCCTCCTCCCACCCCCAGCCAGGCAGCCACTGATGAGCTTTTGTACACTATAGTCTGTGTTTTCTAGAATTTTTACAAATGTAATTGTACAATATGTACTCTTCTGTGTCTAGCCTCTTTCACTGGGAGTATATTTTTGCTTGTTTTAATGTAAATTTAAAGAGGTACTTCATGCAGAAAAGTATAAAACTCATAAGTGTGTAGCTCAATCTGTGTTACTCTTAATAGATGCTTATTGGGATTAAGTTTCTTTAACAGAGACCCAAAATAGTAGTGGCTGAACAAGTCAGAAGTTTATTTCTTATGTAAAAATCCAGAATATATATAACAACTCTATTCCACAGAATTCTCAGGGTCCCAAGCTCCTTCCAGCTTACTAGGGTGTGGTCCTTGTCCTCATATTCTAAGACGGTGACCGGAAGTTCCATGTCACACCTTCCTTCCAGGTAGCAAGGTTAAAAAAAAAAAGAAGAAAGAAAGAAAGAAGGAGAAAAGAATGAAGGCGTGTGGTAATTGTGTTTTAAGGAGGGTTCTGGGAAGTCGCAGTGCAACACTTTGGCTTCGTCTCAATGGGAGGTACTTAATTGTGTGGCCATACCTAGCTGCAATGGAGGCTGGGAAATAGTTCTGGTTGTTTTTTTCCCCCCTAGTTAGGCATACACTTGCATGAAAATAAAACACTCTGTTACTCTGGAAGATGGGAAGAATAGATTGGGGATAAACCAGCAGCCTGTGCCACAGATTCGTGGTGTTCCTTCATAAGGCTGTTCTGTACTTCTGATTGCTAGGCATGTGGGTTTGCTCCAAGGCTTTGGCTATGATAAATCATGCTGTGATGCACAGCCTTGTGCCTAGTTTCTAGGAAGGGCCACTGCTAGATCCAACACACCTTTGTGTGAATGAGAACAGGGCCTACACTGTCCAACATGATAGCCACTAGCTATATGTGGCTATTTATACTGACATTTGAGTTAGTTACAATTTTTAAAAATTAATATTTAGTTTCTGAGTCACAGTAGCCACATTTTAAAGGTTCAGTAGCAGTGTGTGGCTAGTGGCTTCTGTATTAGATATGGCAGATATAAAACACGTCATTGCAGAAACTTCTATTGGACAATGCTGATCTAGCCAAAGTAAATGCTGATCTAGCCAAAGTAGCTTCATATCAGGGTGCCTAGCATGGTGGGCAAAGAATGGGCTTGACCTCCTCCTTGACATCTCAGCTGAGCTGCTGTATACAGGGCCCAGCATTTAACAGTACATGGTACTTTGCCTTTTGCAAGCCCAAACTCTGTAGGAGGTCTCTCCTTAGGTCAAATGCAGAGGAAGAAGAGCAGATGGATTGTTGGACTTACAGAAAGTAGTGAATACTGACTTGGCTTTCAGTGCATGGTTCTTTGTAAACAGTGAGAGTATTTGCATAACCTGCATGTAGCATGGTACTCCAGTTTTATATAATTTTGGAGGGAGGGTAGGAGTGGAAGAGAAAGTGAGCCTTCAAAATTTCAAAGGTTGCACTTCGGGGTGGATAACTGCCTCTGAGTGTTGCCATGACCCAGGAAATGGGGAAGGGCTTAAGCAGGCCTGTCTTCTGCAAATCATGGTATTTTTAGCTCCAGAATAGTTTAAAGCAGATTTAAATGCACAGTGGATAATGATAACTTTCACAGCTGAGCGATCTCAGAGGACATCTGCTCAGTGATATTCAAACATGTTGTGACTGGCTCAGTGTGTTTATTTTTCTTTTGACAGTGGTAAGTGCGGGGGTGGGGGGGAGAGCAAGGATTTCAAGATCCATCTTAAGGTGATTAAATTGGGTGGGGGCCCAGGGTCCTCTTAGAGGAGTTTACCCTGAAGTGGGTGTCCTGCTCCCCTTGGTGGGGAGGTTAGGTGTGTAGTGGAAGCTTTGAGGTGGTCCAGACCCATGTTCCCTGTAGTGAAGGGGCAGAGAGGGCGGCTGGAGCCCCCAGGCACCTCATGTGCTTACCCTGGTTCCTCATCTGCCTTTTCTCTGAGTGCATTGACACAGAGCAGTGGTTTGGAGCTCAGAGCCTGTCCGTACAGTCCTGCTTGGATGGTTCCAGTGACAGAAAGCTCACGCTAAATCTTTTCAGTTGGGTGAGGTCAGCTCTACCTGTTAAGAAGTTTGTTTCTGGACTCTGAGGTGGCCTCTCTGTGCCTGTCACTCACTTGCCCTGGCGTGCCTCAGTTTCCTAATCTTTTACTGCACATGATAATAGGACCTGCCTTGTGGGAATGTTGTGAGTTCTAAAGAAGTTAATAATATGTGAAGTCCTTGTAACAGTTCAATAAGGTTAGCTGTAGCTGTTTTTATTATTTTTCCTGGTAAATCTTCCTCCTCCTAAGCTACTTTTTTTTTTTTTTTTCCTTTTTTTCTTTTTTCGTGTCCGGCAACGGATCGCAACCCTCAGTGTCGCGCCCATACCAGACTGGGACCGGCAATGGGATCGCAACCCTCGGTGCTGCGCCCGCCCCTCGCTCAGCCAGTGAGCAGGAACGGTCTGTATGTGGGATCCGAACCCTCGGCGGGAGCGCCGCCACACTCCCAAGTGGCGCACTGTAGCAGTGCGCCACCAGGCCGGCCCAAAGCCACTTTTTTTTTTTGCCTGCCAAGCCTCCAAGCAGGCCAGGGAGGCTCTTCCCTTTAACATCTAATTGTAGTGGGGTCAAGAAGGTCTCTTTAACCCTGCGAGGAGGGAGGACAAATTCCCCACACTGTGGAAGCAGCCAGGCACCGGGGACAGAGTGGGCCTGTGGAGCCAGCACTGGGGCCATGTCCGGACTCCATGTCTCACCATGGAGGTGCTCTCAGCAAGCCACTGAACCTCCCTGAGCCTCAGTCGTACTAGCCAGGGAAGGGAGGATAGGTCCACACTTTAGAGTCATCATGAGAATTAAGATGAGCCTGCTATGGGTACTTAATAAATAAGTGCTGTCCCTCTTCTGTTGACAGCAGCCCCTAGTTGAACAGAAGTCCCTGTTCTTTCCTATTCAGCCCATAGACATTTCCTGGGGTTGGTTTGTCAGGTAACTATTTCAGAATGGGTCGCAAGGGACACAGTTCAAGAGGCATCAGAGAGAAATTTGAAGAATCTGACCCCTTGGCTTGAGAGTTGGCTTGACGGCCTCTGCGGTCAGTCTCCCTGCATTTCCCCAGGTGTTACCCTGTTGCCCCAGTACCGTCCCATTGTATGCAGCCCCAGGGTAGGCCACAATTGTACCAGCTTCTCCGGAGGAATGTCACCATCAGAATGGCCTTGAAAAATCTTGTCCAAGTCCTGAATTTTACATCTGAAGCAAAGAAGGTCCAGAGAGGTAGAGTGATTGGCACCAGGTCACATAGCAACAAGGCAGAGCGAGAACCAGAGGCCCTCTGGATGTCAGTGCAGCATACCTCATGTGTCTCCCTATGGCTTTCTTAGTCTGGTTGCTATGCTGGGAGGGTATCCGGGCCCAGATGGATGCAGGCCCGGGTGCTCTTAAATTCCTGGCTTTCAGTCTCTGCATGGTGCCCATCCTAAAAGTCCAAGTGTTCCATCCTGATTCAGCAGCTCCTCCCTGCTGGAGCAGAGCTGCAAAACTAGATCCTACTTTGCCCCTCAGCATCTCTCAAAGCGCCTGTCACATGACTCCTCCCTTTCCCCTTCACACGTGCTCTCAGACGCGGAGTGCGCTAAGCCAGGAAGCGCCCGTTGCCGCTGTCACTGCACAGGTGACAGGTAGTTTGGGGTGGTTGCTATCACGGATCTGATGAAACGCGCAGTGTATGTTGCCTGTGTGTTGGGAAGCAGTTGAGAAGCTTTCAGAGGTACAGGCACAGTACTTTGTGAAGACACGTGCCCCTGGTCAGGCTGTTCATTCATAAGCTGAGTCCTCGTCAGTTTACCTGCGTCTGTAGGGGAGAGCAAGCCACTTGAAAGCTGCTTCTGTGGTCACTTAGAGCTCACAACCGTGCTGGGAGACTATCTAGGACACGAAGTAGCGTGGATTTGTCTAAAACAAGTTCATGTCAGCCTTCTGATTATCTTTAGAGAACCTTTCTATGTTTTCCTTTCTGCATCAACAACGAGGAGAGAATAGCTGGCAACCAAGCTGAGCTCTCGTACTGTTCCTGAGGAAGAGAAGACACGTTGGGGGCACTTTCCATTCTAATGCTTCCTTTTCCAGCTCTCTTCATTCTGCTGTGGGCCCGTGGAGGCGGGTGAGGCAGGCTCCGTGCGGTCGGTCTGCTGGAGGTTGACAAAAGCTCCTGGAGGCCTGCTTGGGTTTGTTTTTCACGTGAAGTAGCTTTGTGACTTGGTCTCCCAGTGAGTGCTAGATGTGTCTAAATGTGCACGTCTGTTCTCATGCTGAGCCTGGCTACATCAGTGCAGTGTCTGTGTTTTATCAAACACTGTCTGTGTACCAGAGAAGACGTTTTATTCCCTAATACATTCCACTTTTCACCTCAGCCCTCAGACTTGATAGGCCTGATGTTTTTTTTTTTCCTTTTTGTCTTTTTTTTACTGACCGGTAGCGGGATCGCAACCCTCGGTGTTGCTCCCGCACCGCGCTCAGCCAGTGAGCGGGAACCGGTCTGTATGTGGGATCCGAACCCTCGGCGGGAGCGCCGCCGCGCTCCCAAGCAGCGCACTGTAGCAGTGCGCCACTGGGCCAGCCCTAGGCCTGATGTTTTAAGAAATGTTATTCTTTCATTAATAAAACGTGGGGTTTTTTGAGAAATAAAAATACCCTTATTTTATTTTAACTTATTTCTCATTTCATTACCAACTAGCTTCATGTTTTAAGTTCTCTCGAGGCACAAATCCCTATCTAGTCACTAGGTATTACTGAAAAGTGCTGGTGTGGTTAGACAGAGTCAGAATACTTGCATTTTTCCTGGCAATTCTTGTGTAGGGGCCAGAAGCCTGGGGGCTTGACTGAAGTCCTAAGAGTGCCACCTGTGCAGCTATGTGGGTGTTGCTTGTCATATGTGGTAATCGGACTTTTACGTATTATGTGAGGCCAAGCTCAGACACCACCTCCTCTGTGCAGCCTTCCCTGCTTTGAAATGAAGCTGTGGCTCTGGCTGCAAGCTTTTCCTTCTGTCTTGTGATGTGCTTTGTTGTCTCTTTTCTCAGCTAGATTGTCAGCTCCTTGAGGACAAGCTCTGTGTCTAATTTTATCTTTGCAGGCCCCCATCTCTCCCTGCCACCACTCTGTCCCTCCAGGGCTTAATTGGCTGCTTCCCTCACAGCACGTGCTCACTGCACACATATTGAAATGAAATTCAGATTTGCAGCACCTTTTATGGTATCACTTTCTGCTGAGGGTAATAGTTATTTGTGCACATGTTTTTTTTTTCCCGTTGGGGTAGGGGATGGTAAACTTTTTCTGTAATGGCCAGATAGAAAATGTCTTAGGCTTTGTGGACCATACAGTCCCTGTTGAAGCTACTCAAATCTCCTGTTATAGCATAAAAGCAACCATAGGCAATATGTAAATGATGGGTGTGGCTGGATTCCCATAAAACATTTGCGAGAGCAGGCAGTTGGCTTCTAGATTGCCAACCCCTGAACCAGATTATCAGCTTCTCAAGAGGCAGGCTCTATGTCTAAATTGCCTTGTGTCTGGCAGAGGCTGTGCAAACAGTGAGTGCTGCATAAATACTCGTTGAGAGATTATTACATGAAACAGAAGGCTGAAACTCAAGTTGCACATATGCAGACCAGTGACCCAGCATTTCAATTCACAGGTCATATCCAACAGAATTACCTGCATGTAGTCACCAAAGGACATACACCAGGGTGTCCATAGCAGCACTACTTGTAATGGCCCCAGACTGCAAACTACCCCAGTGCCATTTGGCATAAGAATGGATATTATTGCAGTATGTTCACATAATGGAATACTAAGCAGCAGTTAAAATAAATGTGCTGTATATAAAAATGTGGATGAGTTTCACAATAATGGGGTTGAATTGAGACAAAGAAGCTAGATACAGGATCACATACTGTATGATTCCTTTCATATAAAGTTTAAAGACAGGTAAAACAAATCTGTGCTGTGAGAGGTGGTGGTTAGAGGTATCTTTGGCAGGAGAGGGGACTGGAAGGGGGCCCTAGGGGGGCTTTCTGGAACACTGATTATATTGTTTCTTGATTAGAGTGCTGGCTGTGTAGGTGTGTTCAGTTTTTGAAAGTTCATCAAGCTGTACACTTAGGATTTGTAGCATTTCTGTATGAATGTTATAGTTGAATAAAGCATTCAATTAAAAACAAAAACAAAAAACTCAGGGGCTGGCCAGCTAGTTTAGTTGGTTAGAGTGCAGTGTTGTAACACCAAGATCCAGGGTTTGGATCCCCATACAGGCCAGCTACAAATTAAAAACAAACAAAAACTCAAAAGATAAAGTAGTTTGTCCAAATAGTATTTAACCAGACTACTGTCAGTCCTTCTAATTCTCTGGCCAGTGCTTCTCAACTGCTGCCTCTTTCTGAGTCCAAATGTGGGTTCTTCGTCCTATAAATGGCAATTTGGAAGCCTGGTCTCTTCCTTCCTCATCTCTCACCCACCTAGGAGAGCAGAACCTGGGGTGGAGCATTTTGAGGGTGGAGCCAGTGTTCTGGGCTTGTCCCTGCCTCGGTCTCCCCCCACCCCTATCCACAGTGAGTGCTGTGACAGCATCCTGGGCTTTGTTGTCTCCTCTGCAGAACATCGTCGCCGTGGGAGCCGGGTTCTGCGATGGCCTCCGCTGCGGAGACAACACCAAAGCTGCCGTCATCCGCCTGGGACTCATGGAAATGATTGCTTTTGCCAGGATCTTCTGCAAGGGCCAGGTGTCCACAGCCACCTTCCTAGAGAGCTGTGGGGTGGCCGACCTGATCACCACCTGCTACGGAGGTCGGAACCGCAGGGTGGCCGAGGCATTCGTCAGAACTGGGAAGGTAGCTCCATGCCTGCATCCTTCCCCTGCTTTGAGACTCCTGGGGTGGGGTGAGCCGTGGCCCAGCTGGCATCTGTCGCTTGCTGGGGTGGTTCTGTTTACCCTGGCTTTCACTTGACTCTTCTGTCCTTTATCTTATTTCTTTATCTTGTGTTGGCCTGCAGCAGGGGATTGCAGCTCTCCTCCCCTGCTCTCCCCCCCCCACCACTCTCCTCTTGTAATAAGTGGTTCTCTAGCCTTTACTATAGATCCTTTTTATCCTTTGCTTTTAAGACCATTGAAGAATTGGAGAAGGAGATGCTGAATGGGCAGAAGCTCCAAGGACCTCAGACTTCTGCCGAAGTATACCGCATCCTCAAACAGAAGGGACTAGTTGACAAGTAAGTCTCCCTGATGTCCATGAGACCAGATAAACATTCATCATCCCAGTGCTCGTGACTGCCAGCCCTATGCACACGAGCACAGCTATCTGACAAGCGCGCTTAGAACTTTACCCGATTAGTTCAGTCCTTTGTGTGATGTGAACATGTATGATGGGAAATATCCACCTAACCTGAGGACGAGTGTATACACAAAACCAAGATCCAGTGAGAAGAGCTCAATTCTATAAGGCATATTACAGAATATGAAGTTTTAGATGCTAGTTTGTCCTGCAGGGTGTTTGAGCTATATGCCAAAAGTTTTAGATTTCTCAAAAATGATTACTTTTTTATGTTCATAAAAAGATGTAGGGGCTGGCTGGTTAGTTCAGTTGGTTACAGTGTGGTGTTTTAACACCAAGGTCAAGAGTTTGGATCCCTATACCAGCCAGCCACCAAAAAAAAAAAAAGATATAGTCACGTTAATAACGTCAAACAGTTCAGAAAAGAAGGAAGCACAAGTTAGCCTGGAGTTCTACGACTAGAAGGGACCCGTGTGAAGGTTTGGTGTGCAGCCTTGCGGTCTCTGTCGTGTGGATGGATGGGTGGATGCCTCCATCCTCCACTCACTGCTCTTCCAGGCTACGTGTTAAAGATGGGCTCGGGGCAGCTTGAATCGCCACCTGACTGAGGGAGGAAGGCTGCAGCACCATAAAAGCTGCCCACCCTCTCTGGGACCACTCATCAGTCCTACCTGCCCCTCAGCCTTGTATCTTGCTGATTTATTGAGCCTTCTCCTATAATCATGATGCCAAATGTACCACCTTATAAGTGCTTATGCAGCATATTGTGTGCATCCTCAACTCTCCCATAATACTCCTTGGGAGAAGGAAGGTTTGGCTGCCTAGGATTGAAGGGAGCTGGGCAGCTGTATTGATGCTGCCAACTATGGTGGCTTATGGACAGCATCTGCGTGATCTCCAGTTGTGTCTCCTTCACCTTTGTCCTGTCAGTCCAGTTGTCTGCTGGTCCCAGCCACACATCTTTGCCTCACCCTGCACCCCGCTGTCCTCTTCCTTCTACCCAGTATGAATTCTGGATCCAGAACAGCTCCAAATAGCACTTGCCCAAGACATAGAGTTCCCTATCGAAAGTTGAAAATGAAGGCGGAGAGGGCAATTGTCTTCCCTCTTTAATTTTCACCTTATTTTTCTGAAACAGCTTTTAAAGCCAGCCTGGCAGAGACGGATGTTCATACACAGGATGCCAGAGGAGAACTACCTTTAAATTGTGACTAAAAGGACACTGCCTTTGACATGAATGCTTTTTCTTACCTACTTGGCAGCAGACAGTGATGTGTTTGCATGTGGTTGGGCTGCTTTAATGACTGTAGAGTATTCATCAGGAAATTGTTTAGTCCTAAAAAAAATATACCTGGGTGTTCGGTGATGGTGAAAATATCCCAGCCAGGATTTTCAAGTGGCATCTGTGTGCTTCCGGGGAGAGTGCCTTTGATGGGATTCTGTGGATTGACAGGTTGGCCCTGACTCTGGGGTCAGTAGCTTCCTGTTTTAAAAAGTAGGTGTAATCAAGCAGGCGCATCTCTGCTCTAAGCAGACACCTTTCTGATTAGAAATTGTACATGCTGCACCTGTGCTTAATGCCATTGCTGCTGGATTGGAAGTGGCACCACCGTTCTCCCAGGCTGGAGTATAGAGTCCCCTGGGACTCCCCCTCCCTGAAGCTGCACAGGGAGAGGCCAGATTCTGTCATTCTCCCTGTGCACCGCCTCTCACCTTGATTTCTGTTTTCTTTTTCATTCTACTTGTCACTGCTCTGGTCTTCCTCTATTTCCTTTCCCCATCCCTTCTCTTCTCCATTGTTGTAGAAAGAGCAGTTAGCAGAAGGGCTACCTGTGGCTTTCTAGCCATGTGGTCTTGGGCAAGTGATATTTGGAGCTGTTCTGGTTCCAGTGTCCTTATCCACAAAATAAAAATGGTACATCAAATGATTGCCGTGCTCCCTTCTACCTTGAGTATTGAAATCCAGAGGCCTCCTGCTCTTACAGAATGAAATACACATTCCTTAGGGTGGCATTTGAGGCAGCCCCCCTCAGTCTAGTACCAACTTAACCTTCTAACAGTATGTCCTGTTATCCCCTACAGTTTTATGGGCTTCTCTTTGCCCCAAATCCCTTCTTCTCAAACGCATGCATGCACGCACCTGCCCTGTTATCTGGCAGGTGGTCTGTCTGGATGCCCCCTTTATGTGCACCTCAACCCTCATCACCCTTAAAGGCTGCCCATGCCTGTCCCCAGGGAAGGCTTCACTCCTCCAGCCACAAACACCTTTCCCTGCTTTGAACTTACTGTTTAGACCAGTAGTAAGCAAACTTGTTCTGTTAACAGCCACACAGTAAATATTTTACTCTTTGTAGGCAACATACAGGTCTTATCTCTTCCTCCCCTCCCCCTCCCCTCCTTCCTCTCCCTTCTCTCCCAGTCTCCCTCCTCCTCACCGTTATCCCCTCCCCTTTCCCATCCTCTTTTTTTCTTTTATAGCCCTTTAAAAATGTAAAAATCATTCTTACCTTGTAAGAAGTACAAATACAGGTCATAAGCTACATTTGGCTCTCAGGCTATGGTCTGCCAGCCCTAGGTTTAGATAATATGGCTACTCATGTGCTATGGAATTATTATATGACCATATAACTTTACTTTTATTTTATTTTTCAGATCTGGGGGGGAGTACATGCTTTTGGTTTTTTTTTTTTTTTTCCCCTTTTTGTCTTTTATACTGACCGGTAACGGGATCGCAACCCTCAGTGTTGCGCCCGCACTGCGCTCAGCCAGTGAGCGGGAACCGGTCTCCACCTGGGACCCGAACCCTCGGCAGGAGCACCGCCGCACTCCCAAGCGGCGCACTCTCCAGTGCGCCACCGGGCTGGCCCTGGTTTTATTTTTTAAAAAAAAGAAAAGAAAAAGGCATACAGTATAAAGTGAGTCTTGACTCCCACCCTGGACAAATGCAGCTTTCTCAGTTTCTAGTATAGCTTTCCATGTAGCCTTCCATGTATGTAATAGGTAATGTATTTTATGTATTGCTCTGTCCCCTGCTTTCCTTCACTTTAGGGTTTGTTTTGAAGATCGTTCCACATCTTCACACAGAGATCTCATTCTTTAATTGCTGCAGAACATTCCACTGGATGGGAAAACCACAGTTTATTTAACCAGTTTCCTCTCAATAGATATTGAAGTTGTTTGGGGTTTTCTGCTACTATACAATTTATTGTATTAACTTTCCTTGCACTTGTATCTTTATGAGCATATACGAATGTAAGGTACTTGCATTCGTCTACTAGGGCTGGCATAACATGTACCATAGATTGGGGTGGCTTAAATAACAGGAATTTATTTTCTCACAGTCCTGGAGGCTGGAAGTCTGAGATCAGGGTGTTGACAGGGTTAGTATCTTGTGAGGCCCCTTTCCTTGGCTTGTAGGTGACCATCTTTTCCTTGTGTCTTCACATCCTCTTCCCTCTATACGCGTCTGCGTCTTATTCTATAAAGGCATTGGTCACGTTGGACTAGGGCTCACCAGATGCCCTCATTTTAACTTAACTACCTCTTTAAAGGCCCTGTCCCCAAATATAGTCGCATTCTGAGGTACTGGGGGCTAGGACTTTGGCATATGAATTGTGGGGGAGGGCACAGTTCATCCCATAAAGGTGTTGTATGTGCCTTGAGGGCTGGGCCTTATTTATAACACTGCACATGCCTATACCTCGTCTGAGGCCTGGCACATCTTGAGTCCTCAGTATCTGCTAGTGGGATGGCTGAGTTGTTTGTCCATTTTTTTTTCTGTGAAATGTTGCCTTTTGTCCTCCTTTTAACCTCTAACCTTATTTAGAGAGTTCCCCAAACTGATCTAATTGGCCTTGTAGCATTTTATATTACAGAAAATAACATTCAGATGGGCAGTATGGCCTAGCAGTTGAGTGTTGGCTCCAGTCAAACTCCTCAGCTTTCTCATCTATAGAATGGGGATAATATTATTTTCTACCTGATAGGGTGGTTGTGAAAATTTAATAAGTTATCCCTGTAGAAGACCCCCCTCTCACACACACTCCATGTCCCATCTACAGAGTATATTTTGGAAATGCTAGTTTTATCTTTTTTTTTTTTTTTAAAGATCCGAACCCGAGGCCTTTGTGTTATCAGCACCGCACTCTCCCGAGTGAGCCACGGGCCGGCCCTGGAAATGCTAGTTTTATTTATTTATTTATTTTATTATTATTATTATTATTTTTTTGTCTTTTTTCGTGTCTGGCAACAGATCACAACCCTCAGTGTCGCGCCCGTACCGGACCGGGACCGGCAATGGGATCGCAACCCTCGGTGTCGCTCCCGCACCTCGCTCAGCCAGTGAGCGGCTGGTCTGTATGTGGGATCCGAACCCTCAGCAGGAGCGCCACCGTGCTCCCAAGCGGCGCACTGTAGCAGTGCGCCACCGGGCTGGCCCGAAATGCTAGTTTTAAAAGTTGGGAGTGCTTTCAGCTGCAAGAGCAATGCTCAGTTATAACAAGGAGTGTGGAGGTAGACATTATTCGTGTTGGCTCAGTGGCTCTAGATTAGAATCTCAGTGATCCTCTTGGCACTCCCTTGAACCTCAGGGTGGCTGCAGCAGCTCCAAACATCACATACTCACACAGTTGCCCTTGGGAAGGGAGCAAGAGCAGTCTCAGGTTGGCGTTGCACACTGGTAGCTCTACAAGTCTGGGGTCTTCATGGTGGCGCCACTCATGTCTCCACTGGGCATGGCCCTGGTGGGGATTATCTGTTGTAACTCTGACCCCACATTTCCTCTCAGCATTACTCTAGCAAAGACTCTTTGTGGTGACTCAGCTCCTGCATCAGATCTCTTCTGGTCCCCTAGGCTTTTCCATATATTCTTTCAAATTGGGATGGAGGCTCTCAAACCTTAATAGCTCTGGCATTCTGCAATCCCACAGACTTAATACCATGTGGACACCACCAAGCCTTCCAGGTTGTATCTTCTGAAGCTGTGGGTTCAGCCACACTTGAGGCCAACTTAGCTGCAGCCAGAGCAGCCAGGGTGCAGAGAGCAGCATTCCAAGGCAGCCCTGGGCAGTGAGTTCACGGAGGGCAACTCAGGCTTGTTCCTCAAAACCATTCTGTCTCCTGTGATGGGGGGCAGTCTTGAAGATCTCTGAAATGCCTTCAAGGCCTTTTTTCCATTTTCTTGATAGTCCCTTTGTTCTGTACTAATCTCCCTAGCGAGTGGTCACTGGGTTACACCATTGGTTTCCTCTCTCTAACAGACTTCCTTACTCTGTACGTGGCCATGCTGAAAGTTTTCCAGTATTTTACCCTCTGCTTTAGTTTTAATTATAAATTCTGCCTCTACTTCGTGCTTTTTCTGCCATAATTCAGCATGGGCTGTTATAAGTTATCCATGCAGCTTCCTGAATGCTTTGCTGCTTAGAAATTTCTTCCACTGAATATGCTAGTTCAGCACATTTAAGTTCCACATACCATCAAACTATTGGGCATTAACAGAATGCAGCCAAGTTCTTTATTTTATTTTATTTATTTATTTATTTAAAAAGATGACCAGTAAGGGGATCTTAACCCTTGACTTGGTGTTGTCAGCACCACACTCTCCCAAATGAGCCACGAGCCAGCAGCCACAGCCAAGTTCTTTGCCAGTTTGTAACAAGGGTGATTATTGCCCCAGTTTCCAGAAAGCTCTTCCTCATTTCTATTGAGACCTCCTTAGCATGGCCTTTACTGTTCATATTTCTATCAGTGTTCTGGTCACCACCATTTAACCAGTCTCTAAGATGTTTCAAACTTTCCGTGGTCTTTCTGACTTTTAAACTCACACCAGAATCTAGGCTTTTTCTAGCGGGCTCCTCTAAACTCTTTGACCCTGTTCCCAATACCCAGTTCAAAAGCCACTTACACATTTTCAAGTATTTGTTATAAGCAGCACCCCACTTCTGGTACCAGTTTTCTATATTAGTCTGTTTCTGTTGCTTATAACAGAAATATCTGAAACTGAGTAATTTGTAAGAAACAATATTTATTGCTTACAGTTTTGGAGGTTGGGAAATACAAAGTCCTGGGAATACATCTGGTAAAGGCCTTGTTCTTGGTGGGTGGTGACTACAGCGATGCAGGGTGTCACAGGGTGAGAATGGCAGAAGCAAGACAGCCATACACTTTACATGTAAGCAATTTAGTGTTCACAACAGGCCTATGTATCCAGCCCCATTTTACAGGTGACAAAGTCAATGGGGTTGTGAAACTTGCCCAGAGTTAATAGGCTGTAGAGTCAGATTTAAGTCTACCTGACTCCAAAAAGATAAAAAAAATTTTGCACTGTAAAAAACCTATAGTGACAGACTCTCAGAGGACATGTGATCTATCAGTACTGTTTGTTCTTCTTAAATTGTCATTATAGGATTCTACCCCACTAATTTTCAGAATTGCCTTTAAGACTCTGTTGATTCTGTCAAGCTCACTTTGCTCTCTGTGTGTGTTTGTGTGTGTGTGTGTAAAAGCGTGATTAAACTTAGTTATTTCTATAGAGATTTCTGCTGTTAAAAAACAAACAAAAAGGGCCGGCCTGGTGGCGCAGTGCTACAGTGCGCCACTTGGGAGCGCAGCAGCGCTCCCGCCGAGGGTTCAGATCCCACATACAGACCGGTTCCCGCTCACTGGCTGAGCGAGGGGCGGGCGCAGCACCAAGGGTTGCGATCCCGTTGCCGGTCCCGGTCCGGTACGGGCGTGACACTGAGGGTTGCGGTCCGTTGCTGGACACAAAAAAAGACAAAAAGGAAAAAAACAAAAACAAAAAAAAAAACCCAAAAAAAACAACTTGCTGAGTCAGCTGTATACTGAGATAATGATATCTTTTCTTAGCCCACTGTTTTGTACCCTTCTCCGTTTCAAACTTTTAAAAAAAAATATCTGTGTTCACATCTTGAAAGAAAAAGCAAAAAATCCAGTTGCCAACGTGAGATCGTTGCTTTGCTAATTGTGGGTCCTCACTTTGATTCTTACAGGAGCATTCCAGGCCTGAATTATTTATGGTGATGTGTGGGCTGCCTCATCGTCATGGGATGATCCTTTCTGGAGGAGGGAGAGCAATACCTCTTAGCAATTTAAAATTTATTCTCCAGTCTTTTAAAGTAGTGTCAGAAACTTGGACTTAACCCAGATTGACCAAGAGCCTGAGCCACAACTCTTTATGTAAACGACACAATTTACCCTGGAAGGAGTGCCGTGTGACTTGTTTGTAGACAGTGCACAACAAACTTAATTAGGCATAGGATGGTCTAGGTTGGACCAAGACCTTACAGCCACAGTGCAGACTTTCTGTGGATCAAATAATAAAGGAATGTAGAAAGTGGTGACTGTGTTTTCCAAAGTAGCATACTAACCTGCAGTCTGTTATGTAGAACAGAAAAACCAGTTCTATGAGGTAAACCAGATGGCCTAACCTTGTCTTTTCATATTTCCTCCCAACTAGGTTTCCATTGTTTACTGCGGTATATCAGATCTGCTATGAAGGCAGACCTGTTCAAGAGATGTTGTCTTGTCTCCAGAGCCATCCAGAGCATAAAGGGAATCATGCAACATGATGGGAAAAGTTTTGCCTTTCCAGTTGGTCTTTGGTGTTCACATGGAAACCAGGACTTGACAACAAGATTTTTACTGGACTATAATCTCATAATGGATGTGTATGAATTTTTGCAGTTTGTTTTTGAATTGTGAGGGGTGGTCATTGGCTAAGACGTACTGGGCAACAGCTAAACACACATGTGAACGTGTGAGTGTGTGTTTATTTCTCATTCTGTGGATATTTCTATGAATCAAAATTAAATGTCATTTAAAAAAATTGCTTTTGAAATTTCCCCACTATGATAGCTTATAGGATTGGAACTATCTCAGCTCAGTTTTTTTGATGTAATTCATATGTATTTGAGTGGAGGAATTTTTTTTTCTCATTCTTTTGATGTTAAAATGTAACCAGCATTAACGTGGTAGAGTGGAGGAGTGAATGTGTTCAAAGATCAACATATTTAACTTTTAAACAGTATTTCAAAGCCAGCATAATTAACTACTTCGATTGTAGGTTGATCTTTTTTTAAATAATTAGATATTTTTAATTAGATAATCTACTTATGTATTTTCCTCTCACTGCAGTGTTCTGCATTTTTAGCTTCTTTTCTCTTCATTAGCTGCCAGAATGTGCTTTGTGAAGGCTCAGCAGTGGCAGAAGACAGAAAACTCATCTGGGATTTCCCTGCTGTGACTGACACTCTTCTGATTAACAACAGACACTTTATGATGCTTTTTGTTAGGTAGTACTTTTTTGCAAACATTTCTCTTAAGCCTCACAGATCCCCTGAAGGGGGGCTGCTGTTATTCCTCTTGTAAGATGCAGTCCCTGCACCTAGTCACCTGGTGAGTAGGGCCAGGGCCAGGAGTCAAGTGCATCCAAGGTGTGGGACCTTCTAAGACATCACAGGGCTGATTTGACCTCTGGCTAACTGGTTGTGGCAAACGCCACGTGCAACCTTTCCTGGGGCTTACAGGAGGGCTTTTCGCAGGTGAGATTTCTGTGGGTCATTGTCTCAGTGGGTGCACTCCAAGTGTGGTCCTCAGTCCAGCAGCATCACCATCACTTGGAATCTTTTAGAAATGCAGGTCCCAGGTCCCACTGCAGAGCTCTGAAGTGGTGTGGTATCTGTGCTTCTGCATGCCTTCCATGTGTTTCTGTTGCTCACTACAATTTGAGAACCACTACTTTAGAAAACTTACTTTAGCTTGGCATTCCTCAAACTGTGTTCTGTAGGAAAGGAGTATCCTGGGATCCAGTGGTTATTTCAGGTGTTCCCTGGAAAGGTCAAGCGAGGGTGGGAAAGCTGCATCTATACACACCTCTTGAAGGTGTATAATGTACAAGGGCATCAAAAAGTTCATAGAAAAATAGTTAAAAGGTAATACACATCTTTCCATGAACTTTTTGAAGTGCCTTTGTATGTTAGTATGTCAGTGGAACCTGTTTACCCAGCATGTTAAACACATTAGGCTATGGAGAATGGGGACAAGGAAACTTGAACACTTTTCTAGGCTGAGGTGACCTTAGGACAACTAAGTACACTCTTTACTCCCTGCAAGAAATTATGATGAATACTGCCTATGGTATTGTTAGTTCTGAACTTTTACAGTTCATGTCTGCCACGAATCTTTGAAGCTTTAAGGTGATGCTGGCACATACAACTAAGTAGATGTCAACCCTGCTGAAACGCACATTATGTGAAATAAGTGCTTTTAATTCTAGAATTAGAATGGGAAATACTGTACCTTTTAAGATGAGATTGGTTTCAGAATATCATTACACAGTTACCTTCCATAGCACTTGATGAGTGTTAAAGGAACATGAATGTCACTTATATATTCATGGAGTTTTAGTTCTTGAGATTTTTGCCACTGCCCTGCCCCCACTCCCTGGCACCCCGGTTTGGGTGGTTTTTTTCCTTCTATACCTGAAATGATTGTAGAATAGACTTTTGAGGGAATTTTAAAAACTCCATCCAAAACATTTTGGGGGGCATTTTAAAGTCCCATATACAAAACTATGTGAAAGCACACAAAATGCTATAAATTTCAGTGGTTTTAGTGCCACTGTTAAATTAATCAATTTTTGTTTGTCTCATGATAAATCTTTTAAAAAGTTTGTACATAGGTAACAAAGAGTTACTTTTTAAGATAAATAAAGGGCTGTAAGCTAATTGTGGTGTCTATTAAGTAGGATAATGAGATGAGAGAAATTAGGATTTTGAGTGTCTTGTATATTCTCATCTTCACACAGCTTCCTACTCTGGGTTTTGTACTTGAGTGTTTTTTCTTTACAAATGTCCTTCTACCACTCTGAAGTCTGCTGATTGTACCCCTTGAACATACTTATAATATCCTGCACATTATGGAAAAAGGTAAATTTTTTAAATAAGTTTATGCTCTGCTAACTGTAGATATTTATTACTCTGCGAGTTACCTATTTTTGTAACCACCTGTGGTCTGTCATTTATTTTAATTCACATTTCTTACTAATTATGGTAAAAGGGAGGGAGACACCTAGATTAGAAGTTTTATTTGTACTATTTCAGCCAATCTATGAATGTAAAAACTACACTGTTGCCTTGCTATAATTCACCCTATTATAATGTACAAATATCTGTCTTGAAATCCACCTTTGGAAATGGAGTCGAGCTAAATTTCTGGTGTTTCATTTAACTCAACTATAACACGGCCCCGCGGCGTTGGTCTAAGGAGGAGGGTGTTGTGTTGAGGTGCCAGTGTCCAAAGGGAACTTTAGTTTTCTACTAGTTCTAATATGTTATCCTTTTACTTACATGTGTACTGTATTTGTTTACAGACTGTAGGTGGATATATAATTTAAAAGCTTGGTTTAATAAATATCTAACTCTCCAAACCTGTGCTATGGATCTTATTTTTCTTTTTATCAGCTTAGTTATTAGTTTTATTTAGGTCAGCTCTTTTTTTCCCCCTGAGTTGTATTGCATTACCAATATTGAAGGCAGTTTTTAAAAGAAAGTCTTCATCTGTAATCCCAGTCACCAACACATCTGTTTCCATTGCTTACTGATATTTTTACATAATTGTGCTTCAGGATAGAGACCTTCTAGTTCCAGCCATTCAGTGGATGAATGAACTTGAAATCCCCTCCACCCACCCCAAATACCTAGAAAAGTTAGGAAAATATAACAGTGTCCTTTTATATGCAGGGCTGATCTCACAGAAGTGGGAGTATAATCCCCAGGAGCCTTAAACAAATGGGGCTGATAGCCAGATTAGTAAAGCGTGTGTTGTGAGGCTTATGCTAGATGTAGAGTCCTCCAAAGACTATCTTGTCAGGAAAAAAAAAAATGGGCTAAGAAAACCCAGGCTGGGGCCGGGGGTGGGGTGGGGGGGAGAAATTGGTAAAGGGACTTGAAAATCAACTATATTGATAAATTAAAATTAAAAAATAAATATTCTGGGTTATTAAAAAAAAGAAAACCCAGGCATAGGCACAAACAAGGGAGCTGTGCTCCAAGTGGAGAAAAATGTTTTGGCTAGAAATATGTAATCCTTAGCCCAGCACCACAAACAGGTGTAGGATATGAATTTTTATATTCAGGAAGCCACAAGCAAAAAATTGCATAAATTGGGAGAAGCAAACACAAAAACACTGCAGAAATCCACTCTCCACGCAGGATGTGTGGGCTTCACATAAATAAAGCCCAAGTTAAATTATAAAATAATTACAAAATCCCTTGAGTGAAAGTCAACATATTTTTAAAACAGAAGAATTAGATCCTTAGGGTTACAGATAATTGAGTAACATGATAGATGCTCTGAAAGTTATTTTTAAAAATAAAGACATGAGAGCAGGATTAAAATATATTAAGGGCAAAGTTCTGTGGGGGAAAAAATCCAATCAGGGAGATTTGAAAACCACTATTAGAACAGGTAGGAATGGATATAATCCTTTGAATTAAGTCATTGGACAGATGGGCAGATGAAAGAGTAGATCTGACAGAGCTAGAGACAGAATTACCAAACTGGAAAATACATCTGAAGATAAAGTAGCAAAGAAGATATTTGAGAATGTAAGAATTAAGTAGAGAGTAGGATAAGAAGATTCAACATACATTTGATAAGAGTTACAAAAGAGAAAAGGGAGTGGCAATTTTTGAGAAAAAAAAAGTTGAAATTTGTCCAGAATTAATTGCATTCAATTTTGTTATTTTCTGTAATGTATTTTCATTAAAATTTTATCACATGGTCTTCATAACTTTTTATGACTACATATAAACTTAAGATGATGTTGAACTTTTTTGAGGCAGTAAGTTGTATGAGAAGTCTGTAAGCATAATAGTCCACTAATTTACTGAACCTATGATTGATTCAAGTTATGAAGCAAACCATGTTACCTTTGGTGTGGGTGGGAGATAGCAAGTGCAGTATGGGGGGAGGATTTGGGTTCTTGGTCCTGCTTAACCATTCAGTATCCATGTCATTTAGTCGAGTCAGCAAACTCCTTTTTCAAGTTGATTTTCCTCATTGGTAAGTGGGAGCAATATTTGTGCAGTCTGGTTCACAGGACTACTGTAGAGGTCAGCGAGGAGCAGGAAATCAACATATTAAAGGAGAAAAGTCATATGGTCATAGCAATAGCTGCTTATGGTAAAAATAATGTCATGTTCATTAAATTCTTTTTTTTTTTTTTTTTTGTAGATACACAGTTAAACTACATTTCTTGATCTCCGCAGCAGTTAGGTGACACTACGTGATTGAGTTCTAGCCAGTGAGAGGGAAAGAAAAACACTTGCAGGGGTTATGTTCTGTTTGATTCTCTATTCTCTCTTCTCCCGTGTGCCAGTTGGATATCAATTTTCAGGATGATCTGGAAGCCACGCACTGAAGACAGCAGAGCCTCTTTCAGTCAGGATTCTTATAAGACAATGTGGAGAAAGTCCCCACACTCTTAGTCCCCACAGGACTGTGCTAGATTCAAAAAAGAAATCATCATTGTAGTATGCCACTGACACTTAGGGTTAATTTTTACAGCAACTAGCATAACTTACTCTAATATGTTACTAAAAGATGTTTGAGGAGTTGAGACAAGAAACTTGCAGAAATATCAAGAGATTTGGGAGAATTTTAAGCTTTGGTCACTATAGCATCACAGTGTGTTTTGGCCTCCCTTGTTTGGACTTGGGAGGCTACGTGGGAATGTGGGTGTGCCGGTGGGTGTGTCTGTTCCTGTCCTTCCCGGGACTAACTCTGGCTAAGTCCAGACCTTGTGTTTGTGTATCCCATTGTCCCTCATCCAGGACTGATGCCAGCAAGGTCCAGGATTTATAACATGTGCTTCCTTAACACCGGAGAAGACTTCACCAGGTGGTGATTTCCTTTAGATGTCTTCCTCGTTTCAAATGCTTTTAATTAAAAATGTCACTAGATTTTAGATAAGTCCGCATGCCAGCTGTCATCTCTGAAAACCATGTCTGGTTGAAACCAGAAGGAGTGGCTTATCAGCCTCCCCTCAGAAATTAAAGAATTAAACTTCCCTGAATTTTACACACTGTGAGCAAAACAGGGCAATTGGAAAAGTACTTTATCATTGAAATTAATGTACCCTGTAATTTGTCAAAATTGTGTTATTTGACTTGTGGCAAATAGAAATGCTTTCCTGCTATCACAGAGGTGTTATTTGCAATTCTTTTTTGTTATTGCTCTTATTTTTAAACTTTTTTTTTTTTGGTGGCTGGCCAGTGCAGCGATCTGAATAAATAAGTTTTGAATAGTTGCTTAGTTCAAAAATAAAGTCCATTTCCCAAGTCGCCACTGTTATTAATTTCTAACATGTTCTTCTAGAATTTCATTTTACATACATAAGCAAATATATTTTTATTCCCTTCCCCATTTCTCTACACAAAATAGAACTTACCACACATGTTGCTCTGCATCTGGCTTTTATCACTTAACATTACATCTTTTTTTTTTTTTTTTTTGTCTTTTTTCGTGACCGGTAAGGGGATCGCAACCCTTGGTGTGGTGTCGCCCACACCGCGCTCAGCCAGTGAGCGCACAGGCCATTCCTATATAGGATCCAAACCCCCGACGGGAGCGTCGCTGTGCTCCCAGCGCCGCACTCTCCCGAGTGCACCACGGGCTCGGCCCACACTTAACATTACATCTTGACGATCTTTCATATACGTTGCTTGTTTTTAACTGTGTGTTTATTTCAACTTTTTATTTTTTTTTTGTCTTTTTCGTGACCGGTAAGGGGATCGCAACCCTTGGTGTGGTGTCGCCCACACCGCGCTCAGCCAGTGAGCGCACAGGCCATTCCTATATAGGATCCAAACCCCCGACGGGAGCGTCGCTGTGCTCCCAGCGCCGCACTCTCCCGAGTGCACCACGGGCTCGGCCCACACTTAACATTACATCTTGACGATCTTTCATATACGTTGCTTGTTTTTAACTGTGTGTTTATTTCAACTTTTTATTTTGAAATAATTATGGATTCATAGTAAGTTGCAAAGGCAGTACAGAGGTCCCAAGTACCCTTCCCACAGTTTCCTCTAGTATATCAACACCTAGATTTTATATTTTCATTTTTTATTTTTTAAATTTTTAAAAAGATGACTGGTAAGGGGATGTTAACCCCCGACTTGGTGTTATCAGCACAACGCTCACCCAAGTGAGCCACGGGCTGGCCCTCTAGTTTTTTAAATTATAAGTTAAAATAACAGTAACGAAATGCTTTCAGCACTATTTTAAATGCTTTGCATTTAAGAATTTATTAATCCTCAAAATTTAACATCCCTATATACAGATGGATTAAGGCACCAAAAGGCTAAAGAACTCGCTCAAATATCAGCAAATGAAAGCCAGGATTTGAACCCAGGCAGGTTGGCTTAAGAGTCTATGTTCCTAATTCTCAGGCTACATTAACTCCTTTGAGCAATGGCTGTTCATACTTAAGCCAAATCAAACAGTGATTGGAAGGGTGTAATCACTCTTAATTCTTTCTGCAAACTTTCGTAAATATACTGAGTTCATGCATGCATTACATTTTAAGACATCATACTGTTCTAAAACTTTATAGTGTTAATATTGAGGAACTTTCCATGTCAATACATTGATTTCCCACATCGTTTTAAATATCTGTATATTTTATTATGACTTTTTCTTAATTTATTACAGGTAAATATTTAGATGTTTCCTGTATTTCTCTTATTACAATAATTGCTGCAGTAAATATTCTTGTACACGTATCTCTGCTCACTTATATGAGCACATCTGCAGCATAAAATTCTAGAAGTGGAATTACTGGCTCAAAGGTATGTGTGTTCTATATTTTAACAGACACTGCCAAATTCCTCTTCAAAATGATGGCTGCAGTTTATGCTTCTGGCCTCAGTTTCTTTTTGTCATTACTTCTATAGCCTCTGTTAAGGATTCCTCTGTAGTAACGAGAGACCTAGGGCTGGCCAGTTAGCTCAGTTGGTTAGAGTGCAGTGTTGTATCACCAAGGTCAGGGGTTCAGATCCCCATGCCAGCTGCCTAAAAATTAAATTAAAAAATCATCATATGTATTTTTTTTAAAAGCAACAAATGCTCTTAAACAAAAAATAATCAGAGACCTAAACTGAACCAATAAATCCCAGAAATATGCAATTTTGTATTTATCAAGAATTTATGTCTCTCTTACCAGTTTCGCTGTAAAAAGTAAAATTTTGTTATTCAAAATCTACAATTTTGGGGGTGATGGCCAGTTAGCTTAGTTGGTTAGAACACTGTGTTATATAACACCAAGGTCAAAGGTTTGGATCCCCATACCGGCCAGTCACCAAAAAAAAAAAAAAATCTACAATTTTATTGAAGTAGCCGTTGTACTAATGGTTGTAATAGTTGGTG